CCGACTCGAAGCAGCAGGTTCTCTCCTCCATCCTCTCCGCCTGCCGCAGCCTCGTGCCCGACTTTGAGACGGACGACGCCTTCCACTCCTTCTCTGGCGCGCGTGCAAAGTCGAGCCGCGGCGACTGGATCATCGAGCGGTGCGCCACCGAGCCCGACCTGATCCACGCGGCCGGCATCGACTCGCCCGGCATTGCCGGCTCTCCCGCGATCGCGCTCGAGGTCGTCCGGCTGCTCGGCGAGGCCGGGCTCGACGCGCCCGCCGACCCAGCCTTCAACCCGAGCCGGGCGGCGGTGGTCGTGCCCAAGCGCGGGGACGAGGGCCTCGTCTACACTCCCGACGACAAGGAGAGCCTCAACGCGCTCGGCGTCTCGGCCGCCGAGAACGTCGTGTGCAAGTGCGAGAAGGTGACCGAGGCGGAGGTGGTCGACGCTTGCCGCCGCTCGCTCCCGATCGACTCGACGCAGGCGATCGGAGAGCGCCAGAGAGAGAGAGAGAGAGAGCCAGAGAGAGAGAGAGAGAGAGAGCCAGAGAGCCAGAGAGTCAGAGAGCGCCGGAGTGCCCACCCGCTGCTCCCGAGATCGCCCGAGATTGCCCGAGGTTACCCGAGGTTACCCGATCGACTCGATGCAGGCGATCCGCAAGCGGACGCGCGCGGGCATGGGCGGCTGCCAGGGCAAGCCGTGGAACTACGGCTGCGAGTGCCGCGTCGCGCAGATCATCGCGCGCGAGACGGAGGGCCTCCCGGTGGCCGAGGTTGGGCGGCGGCCGTGGTCGGCGACATCGCAGTTCCCGCGCCGCTGGCTGTCGGACGGCGACAAGGAGAACCTCAAGGCGTGGTCGCAGCCGCCGCCCGCGGAGGCGGACGAGACGGCGCGCAAGCTGGAGGAGGCGCTCCCCCTCGAGGTGTCGCCCGTCGAGGCGGCGGAGGCCGAGGCGGAGTAGGCGCCAAGCCGCAAGCAGCGCCCACGCAGCGCCCCCAGCTCCTCGTGGCGGGGGCCCGAGCTCGAGATATGATCCGATCTTCTCGCGCAGTACTCCATGCGGCGTCGGGCAGTGCCCCCGGCTGTCTGCGCGCCCTGGCCGAGCGGCATGTGTGCCTTGGCCCCGTCGCTCGTCGCGTTCCTCTATCTGGTCTCTCCCTGACCGTGTAACCCTCTGGCTTGCTCGTTGCTCCTCTTGGTCTTGCCGGCGTGTGCGCCTTGTGCGTGTGTAACGAAAAGCATCCAGCCCGAGCGGCGAGTACTGTACATATCAGATGATGTCTCTGATCCTGATGTCTCGCGGTCTCGCTCGCCCTTCGTTGAGCTTTTTGTCTCTAATCGACTAATTAAAATATTATGAACAGGGACCGCTCGAATCTCGATAGAATCGCGAGCTGTGCAACGCCTCCATGAAGGCTCCAAGTCCAACCTGAACCTCACTCGCCCCACGTCCTCTGTGTGAAACACATTACGTCTTGGTCGTTGCGTCAAAAAGCCCCGGTAAGCCGGGTGTGTGCGTGATGACTGATCGCTGAGATGCATCCGCACGCTTCGCTGACCCCGGGGGGGACTCAAATACCCACCACGCGACTGAGGCGGGCGCCATCTCTACGCGGACCGTCACGGAGAAGTCTCGCCGCAGCCGCACCGTTGTGGCCTCGCCCCCCATACGCGAGACGCTCGCCACGTCGTCGAGGCCCGAGTAGTAGAGCGGCACGCGCAGCGTCGTGTTGATGGCCGCTGCGCGGCTCTGGTGGAAGACCACGAGCATCGCCCTCGCGACACTTGGCTGCGACCGGCTCGACGTGCAAAAGCGCGTCGATGCCGTTGCCGTCGGCGCGCTTGAGGTGGACCATGTCGGCGTGCAGTATCGTGCGGTACTTGTTGTTGAAGGCGACGTACCGCTGCACGAGCGCCTCGCTCGCCGGCTCCTCGTCGTCGTAGAGGCGCGTGCCGCGGTAGCACGGGGAGACGCCCGTCGCGAAGTACATCGACAAGTAAAACTCCCATTCGCCGTGCAGGAAGCCGGCCGGCTCGACGCAGCACTGCGGCCAGCCGCCGTGGTACTTCACCTGGAGGGCCAGATTGCAGTCGGTGTGTGTGTGTGTGGGGGGGGGGGGGGAGGGGGGAAGGGGCGGATTACAGGCCGTCGGCTCGTCTCACACACGGGCGCACGGACCAGAGTACAGGGTCGCGTTGACGACTGCGTCGTAGCATGCATCTAGGGCTCGGCACGAGGGGCACAAACATCCACCCCTGGGAGGGCGCCTTGACCCAAGTGCCGTCGTAGATGTTCTGTCTCGCGAGCGTGATTTGCTCCCACAGCGGGAGGTTCCAGTTCGTCTCTACGTACCCCATCCCATCCTTGTTGATGCCTCGAAAGTAGTAAGGGTCGGGCGCGTGCACGTACATTCCCCTCTCCTTGCACCAGGCGTAAAACTCCATGTTTCGCTCGTACTTCGGAGGGTTTGGGGGGGGGGGGGGGGGCGTGAGGCCAGGGGGAAGCAGGAGCCTGTCTAGGTCTCTCCAGCGGCCGGCCTCTCGCACGCGGGTGCAGCGAGGGACGGTGGGAGACTCTCGCCGGCCGCCTGCGTCCACGCCGAGTCCTCCTCGCCTGAAACAGATAGGCGGCCCGTAAAAAAGAAACGAGGCGCCGGAGCGTCAACGCCGAGCTCCCCTCGCCGCGGTGGTGCGCGTGCTCCTTCGAGGCGCACGACTGGCCCTCATACGGCCCGTCCGTCTCGATTGCGTCGAGGCCGGTCGCCTCGATGAAGTCCTTGACTCTCCGAAAGTACCCGTCAGACCAGCCGCTTGCGAGACACGCGGCGCCTACGCACAGCAGGTCCGGCTTCTCCGACATGCGACGCTCTGCTTTCGGCCAGCCACTGGCCAGGCACGCGGCGCCGTTCCACGCGCCCGACGCGTTGACGCAGTCGCCGGCGTGGCCGACTCTGCGCGAGGAGGCCATGAGGTTGTAGCCGCCGAGCTCGATGCCGCGCGAGTGTGCGTACTCGACCGACGCGGCGACGGAGCGGACGTAGGCGGGGTCGGTCGACTCCATGTCGAGGCCGGAGCCGAAGCTGAGAATGATCATCTCGAAGCCGACGGCGGCGCACTGGTCGACCGCGCGCCGGATGCCGGCCTCGGTCGCGTCGGTGAGGTGCAGGAAGGTTGGGTTCTCCGTGACCTGGGGCGCGAGCGTGCGGTACATCCGGCGGAGGGCGAGGCCTTGCCGCTCCGCCTCGTCGGAGTCGTGCAGGAGCACGTATGTGCGGAAGGAGGCGAAGGAGCGGCCGTGGAAGCCGGCGGGGCCGAGCTGCGCTGCCGGGCCCCGCGGGTAGACGGAGCGGAGGAGCAGCGCGCCGTTGCCCTGCGTGCACGTCGTGCAGCTCTCGTCCGGTCCGAGGCGGGTGGTGCCGCGGGAGGGGTCCTTCGTGCCGCGCGTCATCTCGGACGCCATGTGCACGCGGCCGCTGGTGCTCGCGCCTGTGACGCGCCCAGCACGGTGGAGGAGACATGGGCGAGATCTGGCAGAGGTGGCCGAGACGTGGGCGCGCCTGTGATGTGCCCTCGCTCCGCGTGCGGCCAGTAGCCCGTCGCCTAAGTCAGGCCAGGCCCGGGAAACCTTCCACGCTGCGGGGCAAGGAGCCAGGCATTCAAAGTTGCAAGGCCCGTTGCGCGTGGGTGGTGTGTGCGTGCGTGCGTGCGTGCGTGCGTGCGTGCGTGCGTGCGTGTGTGAATGTGTGTGTGTGTGTGTGTGTGTGTGTGTGTGTGTGTGTGTGTGTGTGTGCGTGGCGTGGCGAACCGCGAGAGCGCTGCCCTACCTGCTGCCTCGGCGCGCGCGCGTCTGTCTGTCTGCCTTTCCGTTTGTCTGTGTATCTGTCACCTCATTTGTGAGACGGAGCACGTCAGTGGCAAGCGACTCGAGGACCACACTCCCTCCTCTGCCCGAGCAGGTCACGGCGACGTGCTTCTCGTAGAGCGGCAGGCCGCGGTACAGCGCGTACACGACCGTGACGACGACATCGCGGTGGGCGGCAGGCGCACCCTCCGGCGCGACAAAGTCGACGGAGAGGGTCAGCCCGCGAGGCGGCCTATTCATACAGCTTGCGCTGGAGAGTCGCTCTCCCCAGGGAAAGGGAAAGGGAAAGGGCGAGGCGTGGCCAGGAGAGAGACGCGTCAGAGTGCCGCACGCCGGGAGCCCACTTGTACCGCGCGGTCGGCGCACCCGTGCGGTGGGCGGAGTAGCGGAATGCACCGGCGGGAGAAGTGAGCTCGGGCAGCTCCGACATGTTCAAGAAGGCGAAGTCGCTCTGCCCAACCAGTCCGCCGATTGAGTAGTTGACTCCATCGAGACGCATCTCCGCCTCTGGAGAGGTTGCACGGAGAAAATTTGCGCCACCTGCATCGCAATTCGAGCCGAAGCCAGAGCGAGAGAGCGCGATCGTCCCAAAGCCACCTGCTGGCACGGCAAACGTTCGCGAGGCCAGGCCGTTTGTGAGGGTGAGTGTCGGCACGCCATGATGGCTGCCCTCGACAATGGCAGCATCCGGCAGCGACGATGGCGGGAGGAGGAGCCAATCCTGTGGTACGGCGTCGGACGCAACCTTGGCATGCGCTAAGATGAGCGCAACAGCCGACATGTGCGCCATGAAGGTCAATCGCGGTTGTGCCCCCTCCCTGTCTGGTTCCCTGGGTGGGCGGGGCCTCTACTCGCCAGGCCAACACCGTTGTGTTGCAGGATAAACCTCTACTTCTTTCCCGTCCGAGCCTGACTGTTCTTCACCTTCCTACATACGTGGGGCGAGGGGCTCGCCAAGTGCACGTTCCCAAAAATTAAGCCGTTGGCCTCATCGCTCTCTGCGCGGCCTTCCCCGCCCGGCGTGCAGCCCTGCGCCTCGCCCTCTCCCCCGGTGCCGCCGCGGCGAGGTCGGCGTCATCCCACGGGACATAGTCGACGAGGCAGCGGCGCCGAGACTGGCCGGCCGACACGTCGACGCCCGAAAAGGCCGCATACTGCTCGAGCGTGCGCCTATTGCAGTTCCGAGAGGCTCGGGAAGTTCGTAGCAGGGCTGCCTCACACCGCTCGAGAGCGCGCGCCGCGTGCCGAGCGCGTACTCTCCGAGCGACGCCCTCGCCGAGGGGCTCTGGCTGCTCCCGCGTCCGAGGAGGAGAGTGCTTAGCCGCGCCTGCGATGCCCTCCACTCGGCGTGGACGCTCCGCCAGCCGCCCTTGCCGCCCTTGTCGGTGCCGTAATAGGTGCCGATGATGGGGCGCGTGGGACTGTAAAAGTCGTACCCGCTCGTCCACAGTCGCGCGCCCCGGCTGTACTCCTCGCCGTCGAAGACGTGACGCAGGTGCGGGTCGGCGGGCACTCGCCGCTCGGCGTGGCAGCGGCTGAAGGAGAGCCCTGCCCCCCAGAGCGCCGTCATGAGCGGCCGGGTCAAGCCTGCGGCGGCTGATGCCTGCTCGTTCCTCACGATGCCGGGCGACACGACTCGCGCGCGGCAAAAGTGCGGCATCTCCCAATGCCCGTTAACGTTCTTCCCGAGTTGCATTGCATTCGGCGGGTAGGCTGTCAAAATGGCATATTCATTCGCCGCCGCGCCCCACTCAGCGAGCATCCTCATGTCCCAGTGGCGCCCAAACTCCGTGTGCGCGTCGATTTGGAGGCAAAAGTCGTCCTCGTCGCGGACCAGCTGCCGCTGCTGGGCACGGGCGTACACAGGCCCAGCGGCCTCACTCGCGTTCATGCGTAGGACACGCGCGCGGCCAAATAGCGCGCAATGCGATGGGTTGGCGAATCTACCCATGCCCAGGTCTTGCAACGGCACGCCCAATCGGCGACACGCCTCGGCAATGCAGTCGGTGTCGCCTGGCGCGTTTTGCTGCACCAAACCCAACCGCACCCGCTTTGGGTGGGCGGCAGCTCTGAAGGCACTCAGCACCGTCTCAGGGCAGCGCTCCTCCCGCAGGGCAGCGATCAGCACCGTGATAATCGTATTATTCTTCAGGTGCGCAAGGTCGTACGGCCGGTGTGGCTGTGGACCAGGCCGCGGGTATGCAATCTGGGCCCACTTTCCCTTGCCAACCATCACAATGTCCGGGCCTCGCCATCCAGCAGGCAGCGGCATCGGGCCGCGGGCCCCCAGGGTTGAGCGGCGTTTTCGCGTCCGGCGGGCAAACTTAGAATTTTACAACAAAACTCCCTCGCACGACACTGGGCACAGGACTGGGCACGGGACTGGCTCGCACTGGCACTAACACAAACTTAGAACAAAAGTTACAGCGCACCCACTGGGTGCGCTTCTTAGCTCCCCGGTCCTGGGCGTGCGGCTGATGACTGCACTCCAAGTGCTCCAAGGATACAAAACCAAGCGCTTGCGCTTCCGCGGTAGTGATCTGCTGAGTGATCTGATCACCCGAATGCCACGACCCACGTTCGGATCGCACGATCGCTCCTCATCGCAAACCCTGTCAGCAGTTCACCCTCGGGTATGTTCGTAAGAACCACATTCACTGAGAGAGACGGACAAAAAACCTTGTGTTCATGATGTGAGGCTCTCGTCAGACGTCACTCGATGACTCAATCCCCCTCACACAGCTCGCTCTCACCAACTCTCGCAACGTGTCAAGCCCTCAACACGGCCTCCGCTTCTCGCGCTGTTTGCGGTGGGAACGGCTTCGGCCGCGCGTCGGCCCGGACATACAACGGGTGCTGCGGCTGCTGCTGCAGGGTGACGTGCAGGCAGCAGATTCGCTCCGCTCCGGCTCCCTCGGACAAGATTTCCAGCACCTCTTGCACGCGCGCGCGCATCATGCGGGCTACAGCCTTGCTGCCTGGGAGGAGGCCGTTCCCCCAGCCGCATAGCACGCGGCCGGCACGGCGCGCCGCATCTGCGAGAGCGGCGTCATTGGCGAGCGCGCCCACTGGGTCTGCGGCCGCCTTGAGTGCGGCTGGCTGCGTGCTGCGATAGGCAAAGAGGTTGCACACGAAGATGCTGTCGTGGCCCCACGCCATGGCGAAGCGGATCACGCGCCGGATTGTGGGATCGTCCGAATCGCCGTCTGCTGTGGATGGGTTGAGGCCGACGAAGAGCAGCGGATTACTCTGCCGTGCGGCCGCGTCCGTTCCGCTGCTGCTCCACGTGCGCGTGAGGCCGTAGCGATAGACTCCATCGACCGAGAAGGCTGCAGACCGCCCGACAACCGAGTGCTCAATCACAGGATGCTCCCTCTCCATCGGCGGGGCCGGCATCAGGCCATCTGGCGGGCGTCGCCTCCGCTTACAGGGAGAGGCGAGGGGTGTGGCTGGGCCGGCGGCGGTAGTCCTGGAGGCTTTGCCGCGCGCCACCGACATGGCGTCGCGGTGGATCGAGGGAGAGATTGCGTGATTTCGACAGCAGGTCGCCGAGGCGCAACGAAGTTTCTGCCCATAGGGGTGGTTGAAGGGTTGAGGGTTGAGGCCCCCCCTCAACCATCTGGTTGACGGTTGAGACCCCCGTCAACCCTTTAGTTGGGGGTTGAGGCCTCCGGGGCCTATTCACAGGCTCGCGCGTGATCACAAGATAAACTGGAACAGCCCTGCCGCCAAAAAACCGCCTCGCCTGCGGCGCGCTCTTGCGCTCCTCATACCTCGAGCGCAATCCATAAGTAGGAGACGCTCACTGTCGCCATTCAGGCGCCTGATCTTTCAGCAAAGCGATGGCCTACCAGGTACGAGTTCAGATGCGCGCCCGGCAGAAGACGCTTGTGATGCCGCATGCAGTGGGATGCGCAGAGAGAACGGACGGCAAGAGAAGGCAAGGGCAGGAGGAGAAACGGCTGGTGAAGCTCAGCTCACGGCGTAAGTACTGCGTAGGCAACCGCGGTCACTCACCATGCACGGCAAGAGTCACGGTGAATGCTGCCGCATAAAGCAACAGAGTCGCGCTTGGCGCGATGGTCTTGTCGCGGTTCACGACTTGACGTTGCACACGGTCATAGACGCAGGATCTATTTGGCGAGTCTCAAGCAGCGAAAGTAGGCGCGAGAAATTAATGTCGATCCTGAGATCTCAATTTTGGCGCTAGTTTCGTTTTCTGGTACATCACGACGACTTGCTTGGGTCTCATGTAGCTCGACGGCTCTTCGGCGGCTCTTTCTGGTTGGATCAGACAGTGCTAATCAGTCAACAACGCAATGCCGAGAGCAGGGCGGCCTTAGAGCAGGGCGGCCTTCGAGCAGGGTCAACTAAGCTCCTGCTGCATTTTGCCACTCAACGTACAACTTGATGGCGGGCGGACGTGTCGAGCATGGAAGGCGGCCATTGCTCAAACCTGTTCGAGTTGGCCTCCGGGAACAAGGGTGCGTGGCCGGCGCGGTCTGTTTCACGTACAATGAGGGCAACGCCATCAAAATCGCGAACATGGGCCGACATGCCTCCGACATTTCTCAGGGCTCGGACGGAAGCTCTGCATACAGCCAGACCGCTCTGCGCGGTCGGACCGACTTTTTTCAGACTTTACTATTCTGGATACTGAGGGTATGTGCTGCTAGATCTCACTGAGCTGAGCTCGTATTTGCCTTTGGTAAGCAGTTTTGAGTTCGGTGATGTCTCCGGAGACGGAGGGCCGCGTCCGCGGACGGCCATGACGTCGGCCGGGACCGCCCCGTGGGGGCCTCGCGATGGCTGTCAGCGCTCCTCCGGGCTTTGCATCACACCTCCCATTCACACAAAAACACAACCACGGACCCAAGACGCACAAGCTCAGACAGTCGACCATTCACGCACGTAGCTGAAGCAAGAGAGAGAGAGAGAGAGCTCTTGTGAAGCAAGTGCTCGTAAAAACGGCGCGTCAAATGCAGCATCCAGGCGTCTAAAGAAGACGACATGAATGGTTCACAGAGAATGTTGTGTTCAGACCTTTGCGCGCGGGGGGTGTGAACAGCCATTCCGCGTGGTTGAGGGGTTGAAGGGGTCTGTCAACCACTTGGTTGAGGGTTGAGGCCTCTGTCAACCACGTGGTTGACAGTTGAGGCAATCGGCCTCAACCACCGCTATGAGTAGAGAAGTTTCGGGAAGTGCCCGCCGGTTCGCGTTTCGTTCGTTTTTTGTTGTCCCCTAGGGAGGTTGTCACGTGGTGGCGTGAAAAGGGAAGAAGATTTCAACTGTTTTGTCGTGCCCCCCCCCCCCCCCGCCCGAGGCCGCCGCCGCCTTCCCCCCACCTCTTCCCCTGTGTGCTGCCGCCCCGTGTCCTTGGCAGCGATCGAATTAGTTGAGTGAGCGCTCGCCATGGCCAGGGCGATCCCGCCCAAGGTTGTGCCGCCTTCGGCGCAGTTCATGGCGCGCCGACGCGCCGAAAATGCCGCCGAAACGGGCGGTGCAACAACGGGCGGTGGCGCAACCGCCGCAGCAACGCCTTGGGTCGGGCCAGTCGGCTGCGCTTCGTTCTCGTGCCTGACGAGCGCGAATGTCTGCTGCTACTGGCTCTCGTGCTGGCAGTACCACCTCCTCGAGGGGCGGCAGCGCTGCTGCGGCGCTTGCGAGACGTGGAGCAACTGGACGTGCGCCACGCTTCCGAAGCCAGCGAGCATCGCGAAGCCAGCCACGCTCGAGGCACTGAGCGAGGTGGTGAAGGGCGCGGCCGCTTCAGGGCAGAGCGTGCGCGTGGTTGGTGCGGGTCACTCCTTCAACCCGGGCAAACCTGCGCGCTTCGGTCTTCTCTTTCTCTACTCATTGCTTAGAGCTCATTAAACATCGCTTAGGCATCTGGACCGACGGCCTACTCGTCTCGCTGGACCGCGTTTCCGACACAGACGTGACGCCGGTCAAGGTCAACGGCGAGACACACTGTGCTCGCCATGGGTGGGTACCAGGTCACAGCAATCCCCTCACACCAGCCGCTGTGAATAGGCGAGACGCACGTCCACGTCCAGGGAGGGACTCGGATGCGCGACCTCACGCGCATGCTGTCGAGGCACGGCCTCGCCATCGCCGCGCTCCCGTCGCACAACGCGCAGTCGGTCGGAGGCATCCTGTCGACGGACGTGCACGGCGCGCTTAGACGCGGAATACAATCCCGCCGCATTCGACTGTATTCAGCTGTGTTCCCTATATCCTTCAGGCTCGGCACGCGATGTCGGGCTCGGTTTCGTCTCGGATAGCGTGATTGGCCTCGACATTGTCGATGGCGCCGGAATGGTACACCACTGCAGCGCAGCTGACCCAGACACGCAGCACGGTTTCCGTGCCGCCATCGGCGGCATCGGTGCCTCGGGGATCATCGCCGGCGCAACTTTCCGCGTCGTCCCGGCGTTCTGCTTGCACAAGTCCGAGACGACGGCCGGGCTCCCGCAGACCCTCGCGTCGATCGAAGACCTCGTGGCGAGCAACGAGCACACCGCGCTGCTCGTCTTCCCGTTTGCCGATCAGTGCTTGCTGCAGACTTGGAACCGCACAGAGGAGGCGCCACGCTGCTGCAACTGCTTCGAGGTCGGGCTTGAGCTCACCAAGGAGAGCCTTCAGAACTGCGCCATCTCGTGGCTGCTCAGCCCGCTCTCGTCTGGAGGCTGCCTCCCGGGGTGCGTCGGCCGGCTGCAGCCCAAGATTGGCGGCTGCTTCCCGGAGCAAGTGCTCGATTCGGCAGACGCGTTTACCCAGACGCTGTACCCGCTCCACCAGGAGCTCGAGTTTACGGTTCCACGCGCAAAGACGGCCGAGGTGACGCGCGACGCGATCGCGCTCTACGAGAGCTTGTACCGGAGTGGGGCCGCCCGGCCCTGGATGGCCATTGAGGTGCGCTTCACGCCGCCAGAGCACAGGCAGTCCTACCTGTCTGCCGGGGCCGACTTTGGTGGAGAGCACTCGGGCGAGGCGGTTGCCTGGTTCTGCACCGTCGTTGCGCAGACTTCCGGCGTCGCCGAGTACAACGACGCGCTCGAGGCGTGCGCGATGCAGCTCGGCGCGGCGGCGCGGCGGCGCGGGGAGAGGCAGCGTCTCTCCAGAGCAACGCGGTGTGAACAGGCGTACGCGATGCAGCGCGGCGACGCGCGCATCCACCTAGGCAAGTGGGTCAACCTCTACTCGCGGCCCACCCTCGCTGCCGCCGTCGGCGAGCGCCTCTCGCCTCTCCGGCGCAAGCCACACTCTTCACATTCGCGGCGTTGTGAACAGGAGAGGAGCCGTTTGACGATTTCCTCGCGGTGCGCGACGCAGCGGACGCGCGCGCCACATTCTCAAACGCGCTGACCGAGCGGCTGTTCGGGCTGGCAGCCTAGAAGCGCTAAGCCGCCACGATTCGTCTTTCCACTTCTGACCGAGCATGATGTATTTGCGAATTCTGCGTTACGTTTCGGGGCCACACCCACAAAGAACCCTGCACAAAGACCGCAGGGCGGGGATCTGTTCCTTTTTACCCATCTCCTAGTAGAGGTGTCCGTTTTATTTATTTCGGGGCTTCCCGAGGGAAAAAAATCACGTCCTTGCGTCCCAGCCGGCCTCGAGCGCGTTCCCATCTCCATGCTATCCAGTCTGCCACGCCGTGCCGCTCGGCAGCTCCGTGGCGTCGCGGCTCCGAGCCTGCGCGGAGCTGCGCGGCCGCTTTCGACCGCCCCGTCGGATGCGCCGGAGGAGGAGCCTGAGACCAAAAAGCTCACCATGGTCGCCGCAATCAACGACGCCCTCAGGTGCCACCGCCGCCATCCACGGCCCGTCCTCCGCGACCGCGCGCCAGCGCCCTCGAGTTTGCTCCGCCGCGCCGCATTCGCAGGATAGCGCTGAAGACCGACGAGTCGGCCGTCGTCTTTGGTGAGGACGTCGCCTTTGGCGGCGTCTTCCGCTGCACGATGGGCCTGCGCGACGAGTTTGGGGAGGAGAGGGTGCTCAACATGCCGATCAACGAGCAGGGGCTCGTGGGATTTGGGATCGGGCTGGCCGCGGTGGGTAGCACCGCCATCGCCGAGGTCCAGTTCGCCGACTACATCTTCCCGGCGATGGACCAGATTTGCAACGAGGCTGCTAAGTTCCGGTACCGCTCGGGCGCCGAGTTCGACTGCGGCGGGCTGACGATCCGTGCGCCGGCGCAAGCGGTGGGGCATGGCGGGCACTACCACTCGCAGTCGCCCGAGGCCTACTTTGCGCACACGCCCGGCCTCAAGGTCGTGTACCCCGACCCTGACCCTAACCACCTACCACCCGGACAACCCTGACGCCTGACCCCGACCCTAACCACCCTAACCCTCACCCCGACCCTATCCCTGACCCCGACCACGGCCGGCCCTCCAGGTCGTGTACCCGCGCGATGCGTACACCGCCAAGGGGTTGCTGCTCTCCTGCATCCGCGACCGCAACCCGTGCCTCTTCTTCTACAGAGACAGAGAGGGAGAGGGCGGAGAGGGGGAAAGGGGGAGCTGTGCGTAGGTGCCTCTTCTTCGAGCCGAAGATCCTGTACCGCTCCTCGGTCTGCGACGTGCCCACCGGCGCACACACGCCGCCGCTCGGCGAGTCGGGACGGGGCGGGCGGTGAGGAGTGGGGACTCCGCGACTGCAGGCGACTACATGCTGCCGCTCGGGGAGGCCGAGGTCCTCTCGCCCGGAGAGCACATCACTTGCGTCGCGTGGGGGGCACAGGCAGCCGAGTAGCCGAGCTGTAGCCGAGGTAGCCGGGCTGTAGCCGAGCTGCAACCGGGCCTGCAACCGGGGCTGCAACCGGGGCTGCAACCGGGGCTGCAACCGGGGCTGCAACCGGGGCTGCAACCGGGGCTGCAACCGCTGCAACCGGGCTGTGGCCGGGCTGTGGCCGAGATAGAGCGCCTCGCGTGCGCCGCGTGGGTGGTGCGCAGGAGCACAGCAAGGCATGCCCCGCCGTCCTCCGACGAGGGCCACGCCTGCTGTGCTGGCAGGTGCACACGATGGCGCGCGCGTGCGAGCGGGCGGCGGCAGAGGGCGTGTCGTGCGAGGTCATCGACCTGCAGACGATTGCGCCGTGGGACATGCACACGATCCGCGACTCTGTCCAGAAGACGGGCCGGTTGCTGGTGACGCACGAGGCGCCACTCACCGCCGGCTTTGGCGCCGAGGCTCGCCGCCGCTAGATCCCAGCCACCCCGCCGAGTGTTGTGCCGAGTCCCGCCGCAGCGAAGCCGCTCGGCTGTCGGATTGCGTCGCCCCGCCAGCAGCTGTGCTCGTGGGGCCGTGCCGAGGCTTCAGGCGCTGCGGGATTGCCCCACTCTGCGCCGCCGACCGCTCTGCCCTCCCGACGTAGGTTGCCGCCGCCATCCAGGACGCGTGCTTTGACCACCTCGAGGCACCGATCGCGCGCGTGTGCGGCGCCGACACGCCCTTCCCGCTCGCGTTTGAGAAGCTGTACCTTCCGGACGAGCTCAAGATTTACGACGCAATCATGCGGACGGTGCAGTACTAGCGGTAGCGCGGTACTCATGGCAGCAGCATTGTGGCACTGGCAGCAGCGATGTGTCCCCTCCCTCCAGCCGCGCTCGATTCACGCCGTCCAGCCTTCCCGCCCGAAGGGGGGGGGGGGGGGGGGAGTCGAGAGGCGCGCCAGCCTTTTCGCACCGCAGGGGGGGCGAGGGGACCGCCGCCCGCACTACTGCATGTCCGCCGCGCGCCGAGCAACGTCTAGCGCGTCCTGGCCTGCGACAGGCCGCGTGTGTTTTCTGCCGCCTGCGGAGTTGATGTCACGAAAGGTAGTTGCTAGTGGTCGATCCCGCGCCAGTCGTTCTCGTTGCCGGCGCCCAGCTGTGCGTGTATAAGCAGTGTCGCTACTCGTACCACTCTCGGAATCTGCGGCAAAAGCCAAAAGCAGACGCTCGAGTGTGTGGCACGAGCGCCGCGCCCCGCCGGGGCCACGCACTCCACAGCCTGACGCACAGCCGACACACAGCCCCGCCACACCGCCCTGGCACACGCCCGGGGACGCGGCGTGCGCGTGGCGCCGTGGGCCCGTGGCGCGTGGGCCGTCGTGTTTTGATCAAGTTTTTGATCTCTCTCGGTGAGTGGGGGGCCGAGCCGCCCAGCCGCCTCGGGGCGGCGGGCGGGCGGGCGTTTTGAAAAACAGAAAAAACACGCATTGCGAGAAAACAATCCATCGGTGTGACGTGTGGGGGGGGGGGGGGGGGCTGGGCGTAGAAAATACGCCCAAAGGGGTCCAGAAGGCGAGAGGGGGGGGCAAGTGGAGGCGGGAATGAACGGGGAACGGCACACGGAGCGGCCGCACTCTGCTCGCTACCCCCCCTGCACAACTAAGCTCGTCCCTGCTGCTAGGGGGGGGGGTCTGACCCCCCCAGCAGCAGAGCGCTCCTGCTGGGGGGGGGGTCCCGACCCCCCCAGCAGCAGAGCGCTCCTGCTGGGGGGGGGGGTCCCGACCCCCCAGCAGCAGAGCGCACTGGACCCAGCTCTCCCGCCTCCTCGCCGCCGCCCCCCCCTCTCCGCCCTCGGTTCGTGTTTAAGCGGTACTCGTACGCTCGAGGCGGTTGTGTTCGCCGCGCCTTCGAGCCCAATACACCTCGCGAGAAAGCGCTGCGCGGTACTCGGCAGTGTCTGTCGAGCAACACTCGGTGTCAGAGCGTCGCGCCTCCATCAGTAGTCTCATCATCGAGTGATTGCTGGCCTGTGGCGTATGACCTCGCGCGGATATCACCAACGACGAGCATGCGAAGATAGGGAACAATATCTTGTACAGCCCGCTGTGCTCCCCGCTGTGCCACGGCGTACGATGGGCTGCGAGAGCCGTATCTTCCCTCCTTGAAGCAGAGGAGCCGCGAGGCACGAGAGGCGTAGAAGAGGGGCTGGCGTGCCCCGCACCTCCCGGTTGGCAGTAGGAGGGCCCGCCGGTGAGACCACTGATTTTGATGCCGACTATAAATTCTCGCCACTGGAACGCATGCTACTTACAGCTGCTGTCTGTACAGAGATGCCAGCACCCCCCACAGGCAGAGCGCTCCTGCTGGGGGGGGGGTCCGGACCCCCCCAGCAGCAGAGCGCTGCTGCTTGGGGGGGGGTTCCCGACCCCCCCAGCAGCAGAGCGCTGCTGCTGGGGGGAGGGTCGGCCATGAGCTTAGTTGTGCAGGGGGGGTAGCGAGCAGAGTGCGGCCGCTCACATCCCCGCACGAGAGGTCAGCGGCGCGCAGTGCCTCTCTCGCAGGCTGGGTTTTGGGATTGGCTATTATAGCATTTTTTCGAGATTCGACCCCGCCTTTCGTCTTTCGTCTTTCGAGCTTGTTTGAGGCTTGTTTTTGTTTTCACATTTCAGCTCGAGCATTTCCCATTTGCATTTCAGACTAGCACTACCACTAGGCTCTAGCGTCTAGGGGGGCCCCGACCCCCTCAGCCGAGAGGCGGCGGGGGCGGGCGCCCACTCGCCACTGGCCACTCACCGAGAGATCAAAACGCGACGGCCGTGCACTAAAGCCGTGCCTGTACGGCCACTTTTCGACTCTACATGTATATGCGACATGCGCGGCGGGTGCTGCAGCGAGCTCACACTCACCGATCCCCAACAAAGTTCCCCAGACGCGCCAGACCCCACCCCTGGCAGTAGCTGGAGACAGTCCATCGTGCGCCACGCGCCATCTGTGTGCGGCCGCCTTCCTGCTCTCTCCGCAGGAGGCCGGCCGAAAAAGCGCGCGGGCGGCCTCCCTCGAGGCCGCCCGCTGCGCACACATACTCGCTCACTAGCTCACTCGCACCACATTGTCCGCATTAACAGCCGGCGCGGCATCCGCTGCGAGCGAGTAGTTTAGGGCCCTCTCTCGGCAGCGGAGGGAGGAGGGGCCGCCAAGGTCCCTCCCTCGTCCCAGCATCATCCCAGCATCCACCCGCCGTGCTCCGGTGCATATCCCCGCGCCGCCACGCCACACGCGCCTCCTCCAGCTGGCCTCCTCCAACGATCCCACGCGAGGCGCACGGCGACGTCACTCCAGCGACAGCGCGGTGCGCAGCGGCGGAGTCGGCGGCGGCCGAGCGCCGGCGAGGCCCAGATCTCTGTGCCGGCGCTGCCGCTGCAGCTCTCCGGTGCCGCCAAACCAGAGAGCCGCTGCAGCGCGGTTGGCGGGGGGGACCTGGGCGGACGGGGGGGGGGGGGGGGGGGGCCACCAATAAAAGGCGCGCAGGGGGGGCAAGGGGCCGCAAGGGGCGCGAAGGGGCGTTATCAGGAAACAAAGGGGGGGACAGTATGGAGAAAGCAAAAAAAGCCTGCCCAAGGGGGTTTGAAAACCCCAA